TGTATAGATAATGGATGGATGGATGCCTTCCACACCGTATGGACATGTTAACGAGGTAAAAGAAACACAAACTTGATTTCCACCAGAGGGAGCCTTCTCATCAGTATATTTATTAGCTGAACAAGCTCATCTGTTTTGTTGTTGTGTTGCATTAATGTAATATTGATTAGACTGCAGTGCAAACTATCAGTTCCCTCCTGATAAATGGTGTCAGTACAGAGCTTGATAAGTGATGTGCAGCAGAATCAGAAAAAAAGACCCTGCACACCAATGAAATATTTGTGAAACCAGTTCTGGTTCCAAAAATCTAACCTTCTCAGTTAACGTACAGCGGGTTTATCACGCTGCCACATAGCTCCTAACTCTTCATAACTCCGTTTCAGCGGTCTGCCTACCTATTTCGGTGTCCTGTCCAAAGATGAGCGACGACATGAGGTTTCCCCACACGGCAGACGACTGAAAGATGAAAAAGAAGATGCCGAAGTATTGGTTGATCACATCAGCGCCCTTTTTGCCTTCCTTGGCAGCCTGAGCGTTCCCGGAGATGGTCAGAAGGGTGCATTTAGCCGACCACAGAGGAGAGCCTCCCAAACCCAGGATCACTGAGGTAGGGATGAGGGTGTACCTGTGTGACAGAATTCATCATCTTATCATCTGCTTTTACATTTGCTGCTGTTGTGTTCCTTGGGATCAGGTAAAGAAATGTTAGTCATCACTTCACCTTCATTGAGGATTTAGCCTTGTTAGCTATAAGACTGACATGACTGCAATATATCTCAATTACTATTCGAAAGCAGGAGGAGGATTAAGTTTTGTACAGACATCAACAGAGCTGCAACAAATAATCAAGAAATCAATTAGTTGTCAACTACTTAATTAGCTAATTAACCATTTTAAAGGGAAAAAAAAGCACTAAATGTCCACCTTCATGACAGCAAACTAAATATCTTTAAGTTGTGGATAAAACAAGACATCTGAAGACGTCATCTTGAGCATTAGGAAATGCAGATTGACATTTTTAAAAAATAATTTTCTGACATTTTTTAGACCAAACAACTGATCAGTTAATCAAGAAAATAACAGACAGATTGACTGTAAAAATAATAGATACAAATGATGAAAACTGATATCAGTTCTATCCTTTGGTTTCTGATTTGGTGCTTTGAGCTAAATGGACAGTTTCACAGAGCCGCTAGGACACTTGTGGTAACTTAAAGAGCCTGTATCATCCACATTTGCAGGTTTTTAAATTCTATTTTGGTGTCTACTACATCATATTTACATGCTTCAATGTTCAAAAAACACATGATTTGTCTGGTATTGTACATTACTGCAGCACCTGTTTTAGCTCCTGTCTCTTAAAGGAACTGTCCTGAAAACCACAGTTTGCTGTGATTGGTCAGTTGGACCAAAGTAGGCGAGGCGCCGTTTGTTCTGTAAGCCCTCATCTGTGACTACAGGCAGAGAGACGGAGCCCTAACAGAAGCAGCTCTAGCAAAGAAAAGATGGCAGCTACCTATTGTTTGTCTGTGTGTGTGTCAAAGTGCCGGGCAGACATCATGCAACTGTGTTACATGGGAGCAAAGGGTTAGGTCTTCTGACTGATGCAGAAACTGCAAATCATTGAGATAACAATTTAAAAAATTAAAAAAAAAAAAACATTTTTGACAACTGTTTCTGAGTTGCTGCCATATTTATTTTAATAATCTAGACATTTTCTAGTGACCATTTACTTTAAAAGTATATCATCCTACACAGTCAGTAGTTTATCCTCTGTATTAGATTTTTAAGTCTATTCCAATGTAAGATACAGATATGTCTTTTATATTTATTTTGTGCTGAAATTGTGTATCCAGCATGTTGAATTTGTTTTCAAACATAAGCATCGCCCACAAACAGGGCTGAAAATATCAAAAATGCCTAACAATAGTCAAATAATCTTTAACAAACAAGCCTTATTGTTGGATTGTATTGACTGATTACCATCCTGGGTAGAGGTTTCCAAATGAGTAGGACACGTAGCAGGCCATGCCAACAACAATAGTCCATTTACAGCCCAGATTTTTGATCATGATGGGAGGCAGGAACATGGAGGAGATGATGATGGAGGCGTAGATGACGCTCAGAGACGCCACGCCCATCCCCTGCTCTGCATTCAGGCTGCTCTGCACAGAGGAGAGCCACGAGTCCGTTAGAACACAGTGGGTTGTTTTAGGCAAAGATAGTTCTCTTGAAATTACATCAGGAGAAGAAAAAAAAAAAGCACCAATTTGAAACATATAATCGCTACAATCAGTTAATGCTGCATCAGAAAGTGACAACAAAGGTGAGGAGTTGTGTAATTTAGAGCATTTTAAGTCATGCACATATTTTAAAATTTGGATAAAAGCATGTATTTGTGCATAATAGACCAGTTCAGTTTCATAAAATTCAATAGAAATTCCTTGTATCTCATCCAGTTTATCTCAGCTTGGAGACTTCAATCTGCAGGTTGTAGTTTCTAACAGAAACACTGATACATAAGGGGAGGTGTAGGACCCAGCCATCAGTAGTCTCTTGTGAGTTACAATCCTGAATCATAGACACAATTTTTATTTATTTTCTGAAGTTTTAATCAGCCTCTAAGTTATAACAAATGTTTTAGTACTAATTAGAATTCAGTCATTTGCAAAGAAATTGGGTTACACCTAAATTTAATTTTTAAAATGCAGCACTTCAGAAGTTTATCAGTGTAACACTTTTCAAAAACCCTTTGTTTTCACAAACTACAAAGAACTAGAGTCCTACAGTGTTGTGAATTTTTTGAAAAGACTCGATAAAAGTAAAAAGTCATCAGTCAAAATGATTTAACTTGATAAATCAAAGAACCCGTGCAGGAAAGCAGAACACTCAAACTGAAAAGCAAAGCTGTGAAGCATCTTATGGACTATTGGAGTCTGTTTGTGGACTTTAAATGCACAGCTAAAGTGAATAAAACNATCTTGAACATGACTTGGAGAAACCACACCTGACGACACTTGCTCTACGCTACCGGACGGTTTACAAACAGAGGTGCACTCACGGTTGCCGGTCCCATCAACGGCGCTCTGCGTTGCCCCCTCCCCCGCAGACCTGGCAAGTATTGGCACAGCAGATGTGGACTGAAGATCCAAGGCTGCCTCCACCTGCCAAACAAAACATTCAATCAACTGCATATCAAACACATGTAAATACACATATACGCAAAATTATAACAAACAAGGAATGTAATTGACAATAACGAGCATATTCAACTTATGTTCATACTTAACATGTACTATTTTAAAAATTTAAAAAAAGTTTACAAACCTCCTGTGTCACAGACACCTTCTTTGTAGCACAGCTAGGTGATCTCCGGGAACACACCTGCACACCACTTGGACACACCTCCACCTACAAAGACATTCCATACACTCTGTTTACAATTCAGTCCTAGAAACTGTCCCCAGCAGTATGAAACCACATTCACACCTCGCCACAAAGACCCTAACGAACCCCATTGTGACAGGGGGAGCACTAATGACTTGCATAACAATGGGGGAGACCAACACACTCCCAGTTGAAACCAAAACTCAAGTGTTAAGGGCTCCTTAACAATAACAATATCTGGAACTCCTAACTAGTCTGTCACAAATAATGAAACCTCTGGATGAGAGATAAAACTTTTACAACAAACTTAAACAAGTCCAATAAGTACAATTAAACTTCAAGAATAACTATGACATGCAAATCTGAAAATCTGCACACACTTTCTTACACACATACACAATTAATCACACAAAAAGGATGTATTTTACAATATTGTCCACAAAGACATGCCGTCCATTGTTTTCAATGAACTGTAATAAAAATCATATAATTAAAGTTAGCAATCCCATTAAAACGAAACTGTACCAACCTCATGTGTCACAGACACGGTCGCTGCACTGCTAGGTGACCTCCGGGAACACACCTGCACACCTCTTGGAGCAGCCTCCACCTACAAAGACATTTCATCCACAGTCAACACAAACAACCATGTACACTTTGATTGTTTTACAGTTATACACTTATAACAAAAGTTATCAAACATTATTGGTCCCTTGATACTTTATACTGTGCACCAAAAAACCTCACTGCCTTGAATATTACATTGATAAAATGACTCACCTTCTGCTGCAGTCGGCTCCTCTTGGAGGCACCAACCCTCTTCTTGCGTTCCACACATGGTTTCTACAAAAACAATAAACAATACTGTTCTTATTGCCATATTTGGGCAACATGATATCATAGACAAGAAGACAGCTACAATATGCAAATACAATACCTTTCTGCCTTTTGGAACGGTTGTGCTGACTGGAAGGATGGTAGGAACATCCTCCACCACATGCAACAAGGGACCAAATCTGCCAGAAGATTGCGGAATGGAACACTCCCCCAACTCCACCTATGAAAGACACATGAAGAAACACAATGCTTACAATTTTTTCTGTTGACAGCAAACCATATATTTATAATCAATATGGGTCTTTCAATGTTGAAAATGTAACATAATATCATAATAACACACCTGTTGCTGAGCCTGCTTCCTTTTGGAAACCACACCACAAGATGGCTGCCGTTCCTCTGCCTGATGTCTCTGTAACCAAGCAGGAAACTATGTGTTAAAAATAGCTCCCCCTTAGCAATTACTACACAAAGTTGTTCAAGACAAAGCACTTTCAAATATTCATCACCACTAAATGAGACAGAACTATCTTTTACCTTCTGGCCACGTGTAACAAGTGTCCACTCAAAGGGGTTGACTGGTGGACATGGTTTGGTGACCTCTCCCTTCACAACCACTCTTGGCAAGGATCTGCGCTGTGATGCCCTGCGTGGGGTCTGGGGCTTTGGGGCTGGTGGCTGGAGTACCTAAAAAAATATTGATATAGATTTTTATTTCTCATATTTAAACAACATAATTACAAAATGCTTCATGTATGGGAAAGGTATATTCATATACTTTGCATGTCTAAACAGCATACATATGCATGACCATGGACAAAATACAAGCACACAAACAAATAAACTATGCAAAAATCTAATCAATAGTCACAACTTACCATGTAAGAAGCCATCCACAGCAACTGTGCCAGGATAGGCATCCCCACAGTGTCCGACAGGTGGACCTTCAGAAATAACAGCAACACATATAATTAACTTCATTTTCCTGCCATTGTTATACAGGCCATATGCTTTTCAATGTACAATTTCCCATTTGCCACAATACAACATCATGTTATACTTACACCATCCCTGCACCACAGCTCCAAGTTCTTCAATGGAAAATACTCCACAACAGAGAAGTACTTCACACCTGCAAAGTACAAACAAGCCATTATGAAATGCAGACATATACATCTTCCACTGTATGTTTGCTCAAGTAAACATCATACAAATTACTACTCCATGTTTTGGCTACAGTTACACAACACTCTATACAGCTATGTGTATGTCTCTAGCGACTACTATTGTACATACCCATGCTTGCAGCAACACGATGGTACTCCTGACGAAGGTGTTGTTGGAAGCTCAGGTCAATGTTCAGACGCGGAGTAAAGTCTGTCACAACCACCTGTAAAACACCATTTCTGATCATTCAAACACTGCCCACATCAACCATATACATTATTCTACAGTTATTATACCTTGCAAACAAATGGCTATCACAAAAACACATGCACAACCAATTTTCAACTATGCTTACGTTGGTATGCTGGCTGCAGACACTAGCAAGAAGCTTGCTGAAATCTGCCCCCGCCTCCTGGATGGTGCTGCTGGAAGTCAGGTTGTTGCTGGGGGCCTGCAGAAGGACGGCGTCTGGCTTCCTTGGTAGCACGGCACTCAGGAACTCTGCCCGCAGCTCAGCAGCAGCGGCCCCCGGCGTGGACATGACACCAAAGGACAAGCCTCCCTCTGGCATCGCCACAATCCCATCAGCAATGCTTCGCAGATGGGATGCGCCAACTAGAAGAACAAACTGTAAAGACAGCATTTGTTAATCAGCAAATCATAATACTAGCATTTTGCTATTATGTGCAACTGCTCTACAAGTATAATACCTTCTTGTTAGGCACCTCTGCTGGAATGACCAACTTGTGGCTACGTCCAGTCACGAGTGAAGTTGGCCATCTGCGCACAGCATGTCGGTAACCAGTACCTCTGCCTATCAGACAAGCAAAAAACAACAAAGCATTGAACATCCTTTTTTTTTTTTACAAATTCAACCATGTTAATTTATGTGCACATAGATGCATGTAAATCACATGATAGCTACAGAGCATAAGAATACAACTCTTACAAATGTAAAATACAATTAATTTACAATCAGGCTACTTACATGCATGACTGCCAATGGCAAGCTGCTGGGGTTCAACATTCAGAGTATGTTGCGTCTCCAGCCTCCTCCTGACAGCCTGGGAACGGCGGTAGGACTTGCCACGAGGCATCTATAAAATCATAAACACAACATCTTTCATCATTACATGACAAGACAGTTTTACCATTTCACAATTTCACACATACAAATTCAGTTCTACTATCACTAAACAAAAAGGTCATTAGTTCATCCACTCTACTCCTAAAAACACATCATCATTTTCATCACTACACAAATACTGCTAAATGAATAACTCACCTGGAATCAAATAAAACTGGTGCAAACAGAAAAATAGCAGAAAAAGGACAACAGGTATCCTTACATCCACTAAACACACAAATCCTCACAAGTAAGAAACTATAACAGTCTCAGGTCTGTGATGATTGTGTGGAGCCTCTCGGAGAATTTACCAAAAGACAAGGCCACTGTGCCTCACCTGGGTACTTATCAGGGCTGTTCAAACAGGTCCACCAATCAGAAACATCGGAACGGAATGTGGGCGGAGTTACACTTGATTCAAAGAAAAATGACCAGAAACACAAGTCTGCATGGACACATAACTTTACTCAGTAACTTTTCCATCAGTTAGCTTCTGATTTCATTAGTATTTACTTTTTTCATGTGATTCATGTATAACTGTTTACCCACCATAACGCAGTTCATTTATATCCAAAATAAAATGACTCAATATTCACTGCTCGACAGCCAAGCCTTTCACACACTGTCCGGCAATCACAGGCTCATTAGCATCCATCCCCATCCTCCATCCCCCTCCTTGAAAAAACAACACTTTTGTTACCTGGTAAAACTAAAACACTAGCTTGCCATTCTAGCTATGTTTCCCATACACAACTTCACTTTCTAAAATTTCCCCACACAAAAATACAATATATGTGTGTTCCGCACAAAACTTTCCATGTCAATGTCATGTTTACACCACATTTATTTAAATGAACCTACATTTATTGTCATAACACACCATTACCAAAAATGCCTTAAACACACACAGCTTCACCATTTCTGTATTAACATTGCTGCATGTAAAGCTGTGTGCTGCTGCTCTGTTTGCAAAAATATCATCACTATAGATTCAAACACGTATGTATACACTGTACTTGATAACACAGAGATCAGTACTTTAATTTTACAACATAAAACATTTTAATTTCATTCATTAATTTCTTGCATACTAACTTTAAAACAAGATGTGCAAAACTCTGACCCAAACTGATACCAGATTACATGACTCCTTACAACTCACCTTGAATTTACCGAGAACACAAGAGTCCACAAAACAGCAAACCACATATCCTGTTAACATTCATTTTGTCCTTCATTTTTTTTAAAGATATATTTTTGGGCCTTTTTCCACCTTTAATGACAGTTGACAGTGAAAATACACAGACAAACATGGGTAAAAGCTAAGGGAACAACATGCAAAAACACCTCTCCCCAACCAGATGAAACCACATTCACACAGGGGGAGCACTGACAACTCGCATAATGAGTGGGAAGGGCAACAAACCCCCAGTTGAAACAAAAGCTCAGGTGTTAATGGTTCCTTAACAATATCAGGATCTGACACTCCCAACTACTCAGTCAGAAAAGATGAAGCTTCTTGACTGAGACATCTTGAAGTAACTGACGCAAGTTCAGTTGCTACAATTAATCTACAAGAGTAACATGCAGCAAATCAGCTGCTGGCCACATTCATACCATGGCTGCTGCATCAGGACTATAACCTCTGTACATAGGTCACCTCTCCAACCTGTTCAGCTATCCACACGAGCAATCCTGGTTACATTTAAACAACTAACATCCATTCACAGCCACATTAAATGTATATTCTATATACAGGTCCATGTCACATGACCAAACACCCACAAAAACCAGAATACTCACAATATATCCTGTAGTAATTATTCTACAACTCTGACATACAGCAGAACAAAGCTTAAACAATCCTGTACACAGTCCCAAACTAGTTTACTGATATTCAATTGTATAAGCTCAACAGTCACATAGCCACATTCCATTTACATCCAAATGCCTCATTCAACATCATCACCCTGCATTCACGCCTTTCAGGCGCTGTCCTCCAATCACACTCTAATTAGCATCCAGCCCCATTAAACAATGGTGAGACACTCCTCTGGCAAATGCTCCCCACCATTAAACAATGCTGGGACATTCCCCTGGCAAATGCCCCATCTTCACAGCTGTACACATGACCATTGTGATGTAGAAATACATGTCTTACCATGCACATGCCCCTTCTTGGAAAAACAACACCTTTGTTACCCGTTGAAACTAAAACACTACTTTGCCATCATAGCTATGTTTCACATTAACAACTTCACTTTGTAAAAGTTGCACACACAAACTACAATATATGTGTGTTCCTAACAACACTTATAGCTCCATGTCATCTTTACACCACATTTATTGAAATGAAATCTACACTTATTGTCGTTATACATTTAACAAAATAATGGCTTAAGCCACACAGCTTCACCATTTCTGTATTAACATTGCTGCTGTAGAGCTGTGTGCTGCAGCTCTTATTGCAAATGATCATCACTATTGATTCAAACATGTATAGATACACGCTGTACATGATAACACAGAGATCTGTACTTTAATTGTACAACACTAAAACTCTTACTTTCATTCAGTCATTACCTGCATGCTGATTTTGATGTTCAGTGATGTATGCTTGACAGTCACATGGCCACATTCCATTTACATCCAAAAGCCCCACTTAAACATCATCACCCTGCAGTCAAACCTTTCAGAAATTATCCTCCACTCACATTCTAATTAGCATCCATCCCCATTAGACAATGCTTTGCAAAAGTCTGACAACATGGAAATGCTAACCCTTGAAATTGGTCAAAACACTAACAAACACCATAATACAAGACATGATAAATAACTGCCCCGTATGAGCTCCAATCAGCCTAAATCTTTACACAAACACTCCAACTCTCAACCACAGTGCGTTTTCACCACAGCCAACATGCACGCCGCCGCACCTCGCCACCAAACAGGAAGGGGCTCGTAACGAGCCCGCACATGCTCCAATCTGCCTCAAACTCAACAATCCAAATCAGAGCCCCGACCAGAACACGTTTGCGCCACACCCCAACGTGCGCACAGCTGACAAGCATATTTTGATAATGTTGCCTGACTTTTGGCCATTTTTGACCATTTTCACAATCTATCTCCTCCTACAGGGAAGGTCGTACACACCTGAAATTTGGCCAGCACAAACTACAGGAGGTGGTGATTACACGTTAGTAAAACGGTCCGCACAAGTGTGANTAATTGCTTTCATTCTGTTTGATTTCCATTCGTTAACAATTCTTTAAAACCCTTCTGTAATGTTATATTTATATGTGCTTAGTGTCCTCTGTTAACAAATATGTAAAACTTAAAAAAAAACACAAGTCTGAGAAGTAAAACTTAGCCTATTCTTATTAACTTATATGTTAAAATGAGACACATTTTATGGTCTGTTCTCTGGTCATGGGCGAAGTTATGAAAATCTCTTATTTGGTTAAATTTGCATGTTTAAAGGACTGTTAATCTTTAGCATGAAGGAAAGAAAAAGTTGCCCAAATCACACACACACACACACACACACACACAAACTATACCATATCCTGTTCAATCCGTTTACTGAACAACAAAGTGCAGTTCTTGTGTGCAATCAGTGCACCTACCTGTAAACTCTGCAGGCCTCCATAGGCCGTGAACAGAGACAGAAACCCAATAGAGACCACCAACACATTCTTGAAGTTGCGGCTGATCATGGTTGCCTTCTCAACAACAGTCAAAAAGGAAAAACAAAACTCCACAGATCCTTAATGTTTACTAAGAAAAAAAAAAGTATATGATGACAGTGATCCTTTTGAATGGAGCTGGTTTTTGGACGCAGCTCCAGAGTCAAGTCAGAGGAGACTCTTCTCTGCTGGAAACGCTTGTGTCTGATAAACTCATGGACTGGAACCAGCTGAGAACAAAGTCCAACACTCACTCCAGCAAGGCTGAGTTTTTACTGAGTATTACTCTTATCAGCAGGCCTCTAAATTTCACGTAATCCACACATTTACAGTAGTGGACCTCCTTCTGCTCCCTCCCTGCTCTGAATCATTAACCCTGGAGGTCCGCCTTTTACGCCGCGCTCATGTGATCATGTGACTTTTTTTTTTTTTTTAACACCGCAGAAAAAAAACCCAGCTCACGTATAGAAATGCTGTCAACTTCCCTCGAAAGTGCAGACTTTAAACTCTCTCCCAGTTTTTGTTCCATGTCTATAGACCGCGTAAAACCGGAGATATGATGTTATGAATGTGCGTGGGAGAAAAAAAAAACGTGCGTAAAATGTAAATATGCGCTGTAGGTGCGGCATTTCTGTCAACATCTCCGTCACTTTTTTTTTTTTTTTTTCCCCAAAGTGAAAGTGAAATAAAATCCCTAAAAGTGCAGCTTCTAATGTGTTTGTCTCCCTTGTTCTGAACAGTAACTTTATTCAGGAGTGGCATCAGTAAAAAGACCCCCGAAGAATAAAAAAAACACCTGCTCTGTACAGTCATCCTCAAATATATTCATACCCTCCCATTAAAGAAGGAGCAAAACAGGTGTCACTGAAATAAGCTGAAATTGACTAAAGTAGTAACAGAAAAAATGTAATGAAAATCATGACATTGCTTTTGAATTGTGGTTCAACAAAAATATTAAAAAAAAAAAAAAAAA